TGAACTCTCCGGCCGGCTTCGCGTCACCCGTCCACCCTTTCCGGGAGCAATGGACACAGCAGAGCGTGACAAATCGGAGGTGTCGCTGCGCACACACTCGAGACAAAGAGGGGGGGGGGGAGGCTTCCCGGTAGCGACTGGAGGACTCGTCGCAAATCGCGGATTCAATCATATTTACGGCGGGGCCTCCGTTTGGGGACGCGACACACGACGGGGCCCCGGGTGGGGCGTGAGGAGGCGGCCGAGGGGAGGGAGTGGGGGGGAATTAAATGTATTTATATTACGAGGAGGTAGTAAAAAGGGAGCCAAAACTGGAGGACCATTCGGAAGCCGAGGATGACCACGCCGACGTCGGTGTGCCAGAACGGCTGGGACTGCACACTCGTCCTCAGCCACAACGCCCTGCCGAAGCCCTTCGAGGCCCGAGGCGCTAATGGACGCAAATGCCAATTAAATCCCGGCCGGAGCGACGCGGCCTCGCGATGCGATGCAGGCCGTGACGATGCAGAGGCGCTACTACAATGAATGGCATTTTCTGCGCGGACTCGCCCGCCACGATACAGCCATCGCGGCCTTGTCCAAAACGCGGCGGTGACGCAAGCCCGGCGCAGCGCAGCCGAGCAGCCGCAAGGCGCACAACGCCACAAAGCAGAAGAGCGTCGCGGAAGCACAACCAGACTGGCGCGCACACTCATACACACTCACTCACACGCGCGCGCAGGGGGCAGAGGGCACCAGCCCGCTCCACAAAACGACTCGCTGTGAGACTGCCCGGCCGTCCCGGCCTGCGCCGCCTGCGCCGCCGCCACGTTCGAAATAACGCAAATCACATTAATGGCCCGGGTTCGAAGTGTCGGCCGGTGTAAGCGGGATATCCTACTCCCCGGATTGAGTACCCCCAGTAAAATCCCTAGGGAAATGACCCCCCCTTAGGGAGAGAAAACCCCATCCCGGGGGATAGTGTCTCCCCTACCTCGAGAGGGGGGGAGTACATTGACCCTAGGATGGTGCTCCCCCGGGGTACACCACCCTAGGGTGAAGGTACTCCCCCTCTCTCGGGGGGGGGGGTACTTTGGGCCCCTAGGGATGGTGTCTCCCCACCAGCAGGGGATACTTGGTCCCTGGGGTAATGTACCCCCCCAAAAGGGCAATGTCATAGGCAGATGCCGTTGTCGGGGGTTTGGGGGGGTTTTTCCCTTTGCATCGACGGAAGGCTACTTAATATTCAAAATCTAACTGTCCAACCAATCCTCCAACCAAACGGCTCGGGATAGATTTTTCTACTCGCGACGGATGTTATCCTACTTTTGAAAATTTATAATCAAATTTAAATGGCCCAAACCCGCCCTAACCTAACCTAAGGGGCTCCTCACAGATCTTACTAAACTCGCGACGATCTTACCCTACTCTTGACCCTACCCTTCTCTTGGAAGGGAGACATGTACTCCCATGCTGGTGGGGATAAAATATCCCTAGGGACCAGTACTCCCCTGCTAGGGGGGGGAGTACATTGCCCCTAGGGATGGTGTACTCCCCGGGGGAGTACATCACCCCTAGGGACAATGTACTCCCCTAAAGGGGGGTACACCATCCCTAGTGCAATGCTTCCCCCCTCGAAGAAGGGGGAGTACATTGCCCCTAGGGATAGTGTACCCCGGGGGGGTACACCACCCCTAGGGTCAATGACTCCCCCCCGAGGTAGGGGAGTACACTATCCCTAGGGAGGGTCTCTCCCAAAGGGGGGGAGTACACTGCCCCTAGGGATGATGTACTCCTGGGAGTCAATGGTCACGAGAGTGTAATGCCCCGCCCAGACCTGATTCGGTTTTCGGGGGGAGCGGTTTCGAACGCGGCGTCCGAGCGCGCCGCTCTGGCGCCGTGACATTTGGGGCCCGACTCTAGCCCGACCAGCGACCGGTCGGCGATGTAGCAGGTGCACCGCGTCCGGGGTGAAGGGGTGAAGGGTCAGGGCGGCCAACACCCGCACGCCACCGCGCGCCGCCGCCGCCCAGCGTCGTTGGCCAAACTGGTCCGACAAAGGGGGCGATTTGTCCCGTCGGGTTGGCAGCGCTGTTACGGTGACATATGAAGGAGGACCACCAAGAGCGTGTGCAGCTACCAGTGGGCCGGCCGCTAGCCAGCCGGCCAGCGGCAGCCAGTGGGTCGCAGAGTCGCAGCGCGCAGGGTCACCATTACAAGCCACGTTAATCCCGCCATTACTATATTTCCCCGGATAAGCACTGCGACGTCTTCCTCCACGCGACGGACTGAATTACCGCGACAATTTAGAGCACCCGCCCGCCGCCCCGCCCCATTCAGTATGTTTCCTCCAGCAGTCTCGCCGAGTGCGCAGGCCGCGCGGGCATACGTGCCGGACAGCAATGCGCGCAGACGAGGAGTATTATTCTCGCAGCTTCGATTAGATTACGACTGGGGGGCCATGGCGGCCATGGCGGCCATACCGGCCGTACCGCACGTTCGCGGAAACAGCCGACACTCGAGCGCGCCGCTCAATAATTTGCCTTTTGTTTTGCACTGGCTCCGATAAGGCGCGCGACACCTCGGGGCACGCACGCCCCCGCAGCCACCGCCCCCACGCCGCCCCACGCGGCCCAAACAGCCGGGCCGCCGGCGCCCCCGCGCGTTCGCGGACCCTGACAGGCAGCGAGTGGAAAATGATCCATGTCGCACAGAAAAGCAGCGTGCACTTGTTGCACGCCGCGTTCCCACGACCGCCGCGCTGCCAGTGTCACAGTGTCAGGGCGTGGTAGGTGGGCCTGGTGGGCCTGGTGGGCCGGGGGGTGGGGGCCCGCAGCTCTATGCCATGTGGCCGGGCAGGCCGGGCCCCTTTCGCCCACCGGTAGAGGATGGCACGGGGTCGCTCGCTAATCCAGCGGGGAGAAAGTGAGAAGCACTTTATGGGGCAGGGCAGGGCAGGGCAGGGCAGGGCGGGGCGGGGCGGGGCGGGGCGGTGCAGGGCAGGGCAGGGCAGTGCCGCGACAAAGCAAAGGTAAAATCCCCACACCATTAGCGCTGCCTTGCTGCCCGTCCAGGCCTCCGTCCAGGCCGAGGCGAGGCCCTCGCTGGCCGCGCTGGCCGAGGCCATGACGAGGCCCTGGCCCAATCTGATAGCGGGCAGCGCGTGCCGCGTAAGTCGGCCGATATTTCAGGATGACGAATTCAAACTCGACGCGCCAAAGTCCCTGCCCCCTCCCCTCCCCTTTCGCTCCCGAAAATTTATGGAGGTACGAAATATTCTGTCGATACTCGACAGTGGGGGGGACGTTACGTGCTCTGCTTTTAACCCCCTCACCACCCCCCCCTCTTCCAAAAAATTCACCTGACCCCCACCACCTCACCCAACGATAGCATTGTTTATGCAAGGACATTCTGATAAATTCAACGACGGACCCAACGCATATGACGAGCACATAGGCCGTCCGTGTGTGTGTGTGTGAGTGCCTCGTGCGAGAGTGTGAGTGTGCGAGAGAGTCTGCGCGGGCAAACGCAAGCGCGCGCATAAAACTGTAGTCCAGGAGAGCAAGCAAACAGCGCAAGAAATCGTAAAGCAATAAAACAGAGTGGTCGATATACAGTAATGGCGGACGCTGGCTGGCAGCACGTGCACTGGCGGGGGTGGCGGCCCCGCACTGCCCGACGCAGCGCGCGCAGCGCCCAACGCAGTCCTGTGTTCAACGGCTACGTGAGGCGTCGACTAAATACGTCAATGACTCACCATCTCAACTTAATTGTCCGAGAAAAAAAATCGCCGTGCATCGTGTTTGTAGTGTGTCTGTGTGTGTGTGTGGTGTGTGTGTCTGTGTATGTGTGGGTATGCATGTGAGTGTGTATGTGTGTGTGTGTTATATTTCCCACGATTCCATTGCGCCGTCCCGTAGGCACGTACGCACGCACACCACACATCGCTTGCGTGCCGGCACCGAGCATCGGTTTGTTAGAACTCGGCCTGAGGGCCCCAAAGCCGGAGAGGCTGCGGGGCTGCGGGGCGGGGCGGGGCGGGGCGGGGCGTTCCCTCCGCCCGTAATACCCATAATATCGAGAGCGTGGAGAATCGGGATGAAATGGTAAACCAGCGTGTTGGCTCACCTTTGAGGCTGTCGGCGGCCTCGCGTGGGAGGAGGATAGGAACCCGCCGGCGTGAGTGAACAACGTCCACGGCCCGCGGTCCGCGGGGCGTAAGGGCGGTGACGTGGAAGAGCGGCCGCGCAACACTGCCGCCACCGCGGACCACGACGACACGTACTTACTAGGACGCTTTGTCAACAATACGGTAAGCCAATTTTCTGGTGGTTTACTTTTTGTATGGAGGTCCGTAAGACAACAGTTTAGGCAACGCACTAGTAAAAAAAAATCACACGTTTGTTTTCTTTTCCAGTGTTTCCAACAAAAATATCATTATTATTATTATTATTCTCTTTTTATAAAATTATTATTATTCTCGAAAGAAATGTGTAAAAACAAAAATGACAAATAAATTTTAAAACGAAAAATTATTGGCTGTAAAATGTAGTACTGCGATCCGAAGTGTCGTGGACTTGGACGCGTGGGGAAGGCCCCACAGGCAAAACTCCCAATTTCGCGGAGGGACATTCGTCATCCAACAGCAGACCAGAAAACAATCGAAATCTTTCCGGAAAGAGTACAGTGACACCGGCCCGGCTGGCCCGGCTGGCCGGCCGCCGCGGGGGTGGTCGACGGCATTGCGCCTCACCTCCAGTGCCTCAGTCAGGGGACGGTAAGCCAAACTTCCCGGGAAGCGACGGCCAGTCAGGCTGCCCAGGCTGCCCAGGCTGGCCACTATTGTGGCCACGGCACTAATGACAATCCAGTGACACCACCGTGACACCCACGCACTCTTTGCACTCACGCTTTGCGCGCGCTTCGCTGCTTCGCGGAACGGGCCCGCTGTCACTCAAAAACGGGGGCAGGTCGAACAAAGGCAAAGCCAGAGGCAAAGCCGGTGTACTCAGTGTACTCACCGTGAGACAGTTGTCCAGCACGGGCCCCGGGATGCCCCCGGGACCGAAGACCCCCACGCCAACCCCCACCGTCTGCGCCGAGGGGTCCATCTTGAGGCTGGCGGGGCTGACGGACGGGGACAGCGACGGGGCCTGCGCGAACGAGAAGCGGATCTCGTCCTGCCTCATCAACAAGGCTGGTCCGTGAGCCAGGGTCGCAACACTCACTGCACCACGTCCTGGGCGCCTCTTCGGGGCGCCTCGCTACGCCTCGCTTCGCCGCGCTAGCAGACGACGCCCACTCCACACCACAACAGTCGCACGGATGTCACTGGCACTGGCACTCGCACTGTCACGGCGTCACGCGCACTGACGGTGACGACGTTCTTGCTGACGCGCAGGCACGCAGTTGCACGCAGAGGGGCAGGGCCGGCAGGGCAGCCGACGTATCGGGGTATCGGACGGAGCGGCGAGCGGCACGGACGGCCGGGCGATGCGCACCTGGCTGCAGCCACAGCGGAATGAAGCGCAGGCCGAGGCAGAGGCGGCCAGGCGTCCCCCACCCCGCGCCGCTGCCCCCTGCCCTGCTCCAGCCAGCTCCAGCGGAGCCAGCGGTGCTCCAGTCACCGGTACGGATCGGGCGGCGCGGCGCAGCGCTTCTCCAGCCACCGGCGACCCGCGACCACCGGGCGCGCTTCGGCCCGCGGCCGCCAGGAGGCGCCACCGCCCCGCCGGAGTGGGGGCCGGGCCCGCCCCGCCGACGCCCCGCCAACGCCCAGCGCCCGCTCGCCCGCGGCGGGCCCGCCTTCCGGGCCGAACGCGACCAATGGACGGCCGCGGACGCCTCCCCCCGCCCCGCCGGCCAGCACCGCCAGCCTCGCCAGGACGGCACGGGCAGCACGCCGCCGGCCGCGAGCACCGCGAGCACCGCGACCTGGAGGCGAGGCGACGCTACTCGCGACACTCTGCCGGGTTCCCCCGCGGTTCGCGGATGAGATGACGGCGCTGGCCGGGCACGGCGATGCGGCCCCGCGGCCCGTGCGCCCCCCCCCCCTCGCCCGCCCCGCCGCTGGGGCACATTAGTACTACACACTAGGGTACATGGACCTCGAAAGCTACGCCGCGGCCGCCAAGCGCCCCGACCGATTCAGGGCACGCCTCAAAAACATGTAGACTTCCGCCACGGCGAAGTGGATCGTGTGCTTCTTGATGGCGGCTAGATAGGCCGCACTCTGCGCCGGAAGTACTAAGGAAGGAAGATACTTATAGTTTGAAAAATTTGGAAGGAGGACTACTCCAGGACTTTACAGAAAATGGGACGGTTTCCTGCTCCTACTGGTGTGGCGAAGCACAGCCACCAAGCGCCCCTATCGCGCGCGTCAAGGTCTCCAGCTCATACTGTACCCTGTTAAATATTTCCCGTTTACTCCAAAAAAAGAAAAAAAAGAGACAAAATTGGCACCGTGCGTTCGTCCGTGCTCGCGGTGCTCGCGGCGCGTGAGTTATCGCCGCGGTGTCGCTCCACCCCCTCCTCCCCCTCCCACGCGCGCCGGAGCGGCGGAGCGGCGATCTGATTGGCTACCGAGGCGCCGAGCCGTAATGAACCCAATGATGATTTATCGGGCGCGTCGTGCCGGGCCGTGCCGAGCCGCGCCACTCACCCCGATTATTTATCGGCTGGGCCGTCGCACGCTCTGATGTGTTTAGCGCCAAATAAAGGATTTCCAGACGCCGAGTTGAAAAAAAACAACAACAAGAAAAAACACGCGTGATCGGATACAGCTTTGGTGCTTGCGCCCCGGACGAGTGTTGAGCGACAAAGAGAAGAGAGGGGGGCCTAGCTGGATGCTAAAATCGGATCGAGCCTAATGCCCACCATAAAACGGCCGGCCCGGCCATATTTCCCGATCTATATGGTCGCCGACCGCGACGCCGGAATGTTTAACGGACGGACGGCGTCAATATCCAGCAGGTTGACGCCCCCGTTCCGGAAAACCAGGCCTGTCCTCTGCCTCTCGCTTTTCGCCACAAAACTCGGCCGGAATCAAGTCCCGGGGGTTTTCTGGAGTAGATTGGGAGATTGGCCCTCGAAGTGCGCAGCAGCCACGGTGGCAGCAGCCGAGGACGCTCCGCACCGCGAGGGGCTTAGTGCCAGGCTTACCAGGTTTACTGGGGCAGGCCGAGGCAGGCCGAGGGCAGCCGAGGGCAGCCGCGGCGAATGGCGTCCCTCACTTTTCCCGGCTTCCCAGAAGAAGAGGCGACGGCAGCACGGCGCTGCGGCGCTTGCGTGGCGTGGGTCACCGCCTTGGACAGCTCGGGCCTGGCGGCCTGGCTCTGGCTCGCCGTCGGGGAGTCGAGTCGTCGCTGCAACAGCTGTCGAGTGATTCCACTGTCCGCACTCCTCGCTCTCTGTCTCTCTCGCACCCTTCCGGACTCGCCACGAGTGCGAGAGAGACAGAGCGAGGAGTGCGGGCCGCGGAATCGCTGGACTGGCTGCACAGCCCGGCTGCAAGTAGCCAGGGCCTCAGCCCCTCGTTGCATAAAATGGTGCGTCGAGGCTGCGGCCGCTGGCCAGATTGCTCGTCCGTTTCCCGGAACGCGGAGGGCCAGGGGGCCGAACGCGCAGGGGATGCCGCGGTCATTTCGAAAGCCGTGACAGGAAAGACTGCCCACGGCGATAATCCACGGCTCGGCCGTGTCACGACAGCGCTGGCGCCAGGCCGGCCACTGAAAAAAGAGGGTCAACAATCGATTCTACGTGGCTGTGCCCATAAAAATCTTCAGCAGCTGAAAAAGAACGACAATATTTTCAAGAAATATTATGGCTAGGCCATCCCGTCGGCTGGGACTCATCGGCACGCGTCGAACTGTTTTGGGGCGTTGGCCGCGCTGGTCCGCTGGCCGCACTACGTACTCCTCGCCGCGGCAGGGCGTTCTGCTTATCCGAATGACTTGACGGTAACGAACGCGGTGCGCTCGCGTATCTTTATGTGCTCACGTAGTCTGAATGCGAAGCGCGCCGCGTCGCGTCGGGCGCAGCACTGCCGCGCCGCACCGCGCCGCACCGCGCCGCACGGCCGCCCAGGGTTCGGGGTCATCCATAAATAAGGACGTAACGCGTTTTGGCCGGTCAATAGTCTAATAAGCCTGGAACGGCCTGGAACGGCCTGGAACGAGCCGCGCGGCGCAACGGCCGGCCGGCCGGACCGGGTCCGTTCCTAAATTATCTCCGCCGGGGCGGGGCGGGGCGGGGGTGGCACGCCGGGGCTCATTTGTCGACCGTTCCATAAAGCAGAGAGTCATGCAGTCGATTCCCGTCAAGCGCGCGCACTTTTGAATTCGAGGGTGTCCTAATCCAAAGATACGCCCCGGATGATCCTGGGCGGCCAGCCCGTCGGCCGGTAGCTGGCGGCCGGCGCACAGCAGCCCCCGGCTTCTGGAAGGAAGCGACCGGGGAAGCCCCGCGCCCTCGCCTGTTTGCCACACTGCCTCTTTCCAGAGCAGTCCGTGGAGTGGATTAGAGCTCCGGGAATCACGAAGTGCACTGAAAACGTCGCTGCTGGCCCTGCTGGCTGGCTGGGCTTGGCTTGGCGCGCCACTCTCTTGGCTGTGTGCTGCAGATGCGTACTATATCCACCCACCTACACGCCCGCGCCCCGCAGCGCCCCGCCCCCTTCTCTCTCTCCCTTCCAAGATCGGGGCTTTGGGAATTAATTGCTAAAAAGGTCAAGGTATTTAAACCCGAACACAACACGGTGCGCAGCAACAGCAGCGTAGCAGCGCCCCCCTCCTCTCTGGCAACTCCTGCGCTGCCATGCTCTGCTTTCTATTTGTTCCTCTCTCGCTTCCGAGAAGCACTCGGGGGCTCAACAGGCTCAACGCGAGCGAGAGCAATTGGCGAAAAAGCAAAATAAAGAATCTCTCACCTCGCACAATCGGCGCCGGGGATCTGAGGGGCCGTGCCCGGATTACGTGGACGATTTCGGGGAGTGGGGGACCCGGGCCGGCAGGCCCAGCCAGGCCCGTGCCTCCTCCTCCTCTAACATTCGGAATGGAGTGAATTTGTCTTGTCGCGCGGGAATCGCACGGGCGGTTTTCATCTCGGCACAGCGCGCCTCACGTATTCTATTGCCCAACGCTATTTCAGTATGATAATGAGGTGAAAGTTCAAGGTCAAACGGCCCGCTGGCTCTTGAGGTACATTAGAATTTATGTTACTCGAACAGCACACCTGACAGAGGGGCGCCCGGCCCAGGGACTGCCCAGGCACTACCCAGGCACTGCCCAGGCAGCGTCGTCCCGCAGCAATTGTATTATAAAACTAGATGCGGCCGTCAACACGTCGCGGCAGTTATTAGCAAATAACAATAAAAATAATAATATCAGGAAGAAGAATGTGCGGGCCCGCCTTGGAAAGACTGGAAGCGCGAAGCGTCGCGAGGCGCGAGGCTCACTTCGGGGTGCTCCATCACGGCGGGAACGAGGTGCTGTGTGCTTTTGCGAGAGTGCTGCTGCCTACGGCGGCGGCCTGCGGACACGCCGCGACGCGGCGACACGGCCGTCGCCGTCCTCGAGGCGACTTCCTGGCGGCGGGAAAGATACATTTCCCATCCCGGGAGGGGGGGGGGGCAAAGGGCGCGCGCAGCCGAAGAGTTTAGGAAAGCGCAACGAAAATAGAAAGGGGTCCGCGATTAACAAACCGCTTGGAGAGACTATGGAGGACTTTAGGGACAGCCGCGGCCAGGAGCCCTGCCTGCCGTGCGGGTCGCGACACCGGGGCAGGCCAGGCCGCGCCTTGCCTGGCTGGTGAGCAGCTTCCTGGCCGGCCTGTACGGCACAGGTATGCAAGACAAACGGAGCGTAAAAGACAAAGTAAAGCACGACTAAAGTCTCTAAATCTTGATCAGCACCTCGAGGTGTCGCCGAGCCCAGGGGGACGTATTCATGCATCGAATCGCTACAAATCTTGCCAGACCCCTGCCGGCCGACCGGCCGGCCCGCGCTGCAACCCTTGGAAGGCATCGGGGTGTCTCTTTTTTTGCTGCTCGCCCACTTCATTTCATCCACCTCATAAACTGCGATATTTGGGTTTGGAGCAACAGTAACGGTGAAAGCCTCGCTGGGGTAGGGGGCTGCTGCTGCTACTGCTGCGTGTACTCTCCACATTCGCTTCCCGAATTCATTTCTTTTGCCTCTGGCAATGTTTGCATTGGAGTGGCCACCACCGCGACGCACACGCCCTCACGAGCTGGCCGGCGCAAGGCGAGTGCTTCTCGGACGCCAAATTTTGGCGGAAGTGGCAGCTCGTGATCGCCTCTCCTCGCCGGCGACCCCGCGGATGACCCGTTACCGCAGCCGGCGCGGCCAAGGCGGCCACCGCGGCCCACAACCCCAAACGGCGCGGCCAGGCCCGGCCAGGCCCGGGGCAGCTCATGCCTCCTTCTGTCCAATTGAAAGCAGTCATCAGATTAGAGCCCGCGGTGCCGGGCCGGTGCCGGGCCGCGGTC